ATGTAAGCATATGTTGATATGCACATCATTTTAAAGGTCTGGTCAAGTGGAGTTCATTGCCAGAAACTGCGTCAAAAAAGGTTCATCCGTTACAAAATGGCGGCTGTCCAAAGTTCTTGTGGAATATACCCGCACAGGCCTTAGTATTGGTAAATACTCGTATTAAACATTAGCTTGAGAGCTGAAACTGTATTTTTAAGTCAACTAGCTCATAGATTAATATTATAAAATCTTCAAAACAAATTTTACCGAGTTTCAGATTTCCCGGCTAATGTTGAATATGAGTATTTACCAATACTAAGGCCTCTGTAGGTATATTCCGCAAGAACTTTGGACAGCCGCCATTTTGTAACGGATGAACCTTTTTTGACGCGGTTTCCGGCAATGAACTCCACTGGACCAGACCTTTAAAATGATGTGCATATCAACCTATGCTTACATCAAAGATTATGTACCTACTCCTCATGGGTCGTCCCCTGGTAGAGGTCAAAAAATGGTAATGCTTGCAAAAAGTAGTTATCATACATATAAGTTGATGTGAAAAGTTTGAATTTTCAAACGAATTTAGTTAAAAAGATATCAAGCCGTTTCCAGACTTTTTTGTCACCCTGTATATATATTTTAATGTAAATATTATTTATTTTAAAATATGTAAAATAAATTTTCTTAATAACGTTTTATGTGATTTTATAATTTAATTATTAAGTTAGATTTTATTCGTCTTATAAATTATAAAACCTTTAGGTTTAGCAGCTAATACATTTAAGTTCCAGTGTCAGCTACTGGGACAACTGACTGTCAGCTACTGGTACAAGCACTTTTTTCACTGTCAGCCACTGGAACACGTACAAAGGTTGAATTAAGTTTAAAAATGTTATAAAATATATTTAAAAAACCCTATTTGTATGACAAATTTGAAAACTACACTAAATTTAGAATCACATAAAATCCGTAATATCTCTTTAGTTCCTATTTATTCAAAACCACGGATTATTAAGTGCGTATAGTTTCTTATACTGTCAGCCACTGGTGCATTTACCTTAGGTGATCTAGGAGGTCATTGTGTTCTAGATTCTAGAACATCTTGGTTTCTTCACCACCGGTAGAGAGGGGAGGGGCAGTTCAACGGACCTTATCTAACTGTCTAGGTAATCCACACCACTCATAAGCATAAGAGTAAATCGGTCCCAGGTCTAGGTCTTAGGCAGGGTGCACACTGGAGAAATCCGTTTCAGGAAACCGATTTCATGAAACGAGAAACTTTAGTTGCTCGCAACAGATAGATTAGTTTAACACAGGGCAGTGCACACTGCGTTGCATGAAACTGTAATTTCATTTGTTTCTTGCAACTGGTTTAAATGAAATCCAAAAAAACAGATTTCGTATAGGCTTCAGTTTCACGTTTCCATTGGTTTTATTGACTTACCTCAGTGTATTGTTATTTTTCCTCAGCACTCAGAGCTAACCTCCGGTTGGTGTCCTTCTTTGTTATTAGTGGGCTAAGTAATTCCACCAAACGTTCAAAAAGAGGCTTTGATATTCAAAAAAATCTAAAAATTTTACAGGATCACTGCATAATTATCGAGCTACAATATAAGTACCGTGTTGACCATCCCTAATCAACGGGTCAACCCAATACTTCCTTCTTTTCGTTTTCTTTAGCCTCCACCAACATAGTCACATCATCGTCATCCGAATTAATATCATGAAACTGATGGAATCCCGTTTCTTCTGTGTGCATTTGTTACAGAAATGGTTTCCTTGAAACCAATTTGATGAAATCAGTTTCCTGAAACGGGTTTCTCCAGTGTGCACCCTGCCTTACCGTGCCACCTATGGTAATAGCTATTTCCCCATATGAAGATTTGCTAAAAGGGAAACAAATTTACGTTTAAGAAATTGTTTCAGTAAAAGTCCAACCAGGGAAATGGAAATTCGTTTAGTCTGCAGATTTTCTGCAGCCCCGGGTTAATTCTTGTTCATATTTCAATTTGATAAACACAAAATATCTCCCTTGTACAAGCAATGGAATTAGAAATATAAGTTTACTGTAAACAACCGGTTGTCGTCAACAACAACACTGTTACAATAATTAGATCAGCTGTTTACATTGTTGGCTGTTGGCTCGGTGTTCAATTTATACAATTGGCTACTTACACTACTACTAAAATACCGATAACCTCCTGTTATAATTAGAATAACTAAAACTAATAATGATGCTACGAATGTTAAACATGTTGTACAAAACAAGCAAAGTGTGCAAAACAAAATCTTACTTAAAGCTCTCGAGACAGTATCGTAAAACATATCAGGCGGGATTTTATGGTAGACTTCTGAAGTTGAGCGCAGCGTGGGGTAATCCTGTCCACACGGGGGGTTATCAACTATTTTCTCCCCTTAGTTCATCACTTCGAGATCGATCCTAAGGTTAGTTGTCCGTTTCTAAAATAACATTAATATCTACGTCAAATCATTGACTATAGTTTTATCTATGGATCAGTTGAACATCGTTTCAAGATATATTTATGTTCCAATGATCTTCTTGTCTTCGTATTGTCTAAATGATCGTTCTTGTTACTAAGTAGTAAGCGGAGGCTTTACTAATTATTTATTATTTTTTAATACATTTAAAATTTTTAAAGGAAATAAATATATTAGTTTCCAAAGTAGTTAAACTACTACTTGTACTTTGGTATTATGTCCAAAGATTGAAGATTGGATGACTGAAACATTTTCTGTACAAGATAAAATTACAACTGACATCAGTACAGTCAAATATAACGCGCACCAAACACATGGCATTTAAACATGCATCATATTTTACAAATATGATTCCTAATGAGAAGTAAATGGTTATTCGAAGTCTGGGCTTTTGGAGTGTAATTTAATCAAAGTCTCTTAATTTTAAATATGGTACAATTAATTGTAAACATGTTCACAAACCGTTGATAACAGTAAATTGTATAGTATTCATATAGTCAATGAGTGTATCAAATATTTTTAACCAAAATTCTGAGCATACTTCAGTAAAACATAATGTGGATGTTATTTCAATTTTGTTATCACGATAAACGGAATCTCTTTTGATACTAGCAAGGCCTTTCGATAAAACTTGTCTTTAATGCCCATCCATTCATAGCCCATTCATTCATGATCGGCTTGAATTAACTTTGTAGCGTCCTCGCTATAGAAAATTAATTGGTCAACGCAAACTGGTACATTAAGGAGAAAGCCCAAACCTCATTGACTCTACCATTGAGTATATACAGTGAACACACTAAATGTTGCGCACGAATCGTTAAATACAGTTTACACGTCCTTGCCCCTTAGTTCACAAAATCTAAAACAGTTTCGTTATCTAATAGTCCCTCCTACCGACGAAACGGCTGTTGTAGCCTTATCAGTTTATCAATGACCTTTGAGGGTAAACATTATCCAACCCAAACATAATCGTTGCGCTAAACGCAGTAGAGCACGTTTACAGGACAATGCTCGTGTGGGCATCAGAAGGTTCTATCAAGAGCAAAGACTAAATAAAAAGCTTTCTATCATCGACTAAACTTTATCCGCTAAAGAAATATCCGATCTATGTAGGCCTACCAAAGCTAGGTCAATGCATTTAACTCGTCCCACACTTATGATTTATCCATATTTTGGTTTAAATACGCCCAAGTTCCAATCCTAAAGAGTTGTGTTCCAATCCTAAATGATAGGCTAACATCATAAACTCTATACCTTAGTTTATAGGACTGACCTTACGGTATGAAGTTAATAATGGTCTTTGAAAATGTTCAACAATGTTGTAATCCAAGACTTCATGCTATTTCACCAATATTTTAGACAACACTTTTTAAAATAACATATTCCCCCGCGGCAATTAACAACGCGACACTGTTCTCTCCCAGCCGTCACTCTCGTGTTAGTTTTGATCTCCTCCGCGAGGAGCGCTACATTATAATCTTCCTTACCGACTCTCATGTAATTATTATGAATTATGCGGCAATAAAATCAATTTTACATCTAAAACTACATTAATATAACTATTTAACACGTATACAAAACTTTTATTGCAAAATTTCTAGTAAAAATAATTATATTTAAGATTTAAGAATTAGGTTCTCGTCGGGAAGAGTGGGACCTTTGCCAGCATATATACAGTTCATTTCTGCTATCATAAATGTGTTGTATGAAAGGAGAGATGTTTAGCACTCCCCTTGACAAGGATGGAACACATATACCGGTTAAGGCACAGTTGTTATCAGCTCTTAACCACATTTTTTTGTTCAAGCAAGGATCTTAATATTTCATTTCACCTATACATCTTCCTTTATTCATTTTTTGTGAGTTGTTATTGTTGTTTTTAAAAATTAACTATATACAGTACAGACTTACCCCATGTTAAAACTGAACAATATAAGTACTTGAAAATAATAACCTATTCCTCAGAGTTTGACTTTGACTCAATGCTCATACCAACTTATCTCTTCCCTATAAATCAATTTTCCAGTGCCTTTTTTACATTTAAAAAGAGACTCTCACTCCAGTAATTTTTAGTGCTAATTCTAAACTGACATCTGATATGATTATCATTAGGCCCTAAGGACTGTTTTTTTTTAATAAATGGGGGGTTGGGGTTTAATTGGTGGGGGCTCAAGGAAGAACCCCCCCAAATAGGGCAAGAGGCTCAAGTATCTTTCATGCCCATTTAGCATATCACAATCACATGCAACTAGCAACTGCACGACTGGCCTGTTTGAGACAGCAGCCAGCAACAGAATCCAGGAGCATAATATAAGCTGAGGTTATGGGGACTTGGGGAAGATGATTGTAAAAGAGAGTCAGAGATGATCAGTTAGTGTAACTATGTCACTGACTAACACCAGCTGTTTTTTTAGCAAGGGCAATTTACAAAAATTCCAACGGTCGTCATTCCTCATCAGAATCAAGCCAGCATCCATGTGGTTATCAGACGAGCACCAAAATGTTTTTCGATGTTTCAGCATGTGACCACCACTATGATACGGAGAGCCATATTCTCTCTGTGGTCAGCAACCCTAGTCCTGGTATGTCTGCCATTCCTCGGGTTTGGACTATACTTCGAGCCACAGACTGCTAAGTGTGTTCGTTACCGCTTAGCAAAGCGACCAGTCGACATAGCCTACGCATACTTGTTTCTCAGTTTTGGTAAGTTTTCTCATTAATATTACTGTCTTCAACTGTGAATCGTTATTCATAGTAAGTAATTTTATTAATTGTTAGTTTACATTCATTAACTGATTTGTTAGTTGGAATTGTGCATTTTCAATTTGTCACTCTTGTATTTGTTATGGAATTTATAATAATATGTAAGCAAGGAGGCAATATTTAGGATGTTAGCAAGTTTACAAATGGGTTTATTATAAGGTGTACGGGCAAATAGTCTCCAAACAATCCCAGAGGCTCGTGCCTAGCGTCCTAGGACAAATAAAATTAACATACTGTACTGTCTATTTTCCTTGTCTATATAGGTAGGCTACCTTATTCCAAGATAGTGCCACAAAGGTGGTTTCCTCTCAGAAAGTAGGGTTCATAATCAATGGTACTTTTCCAGCCTCTCGCATCTGTCTGGACCAGAAGTATTTTAGTTGCTTTTAAGAATAATTTTAGTAGCTATTTAAAAGTTGTAAGTTATCTTTTTTTTCATACTATGCTGGAGACATAAAAGATGCACAAAGTTGGCCTTTCATTTGCAAAAGTGGTTGAAAAATGAAAATTTTGCACAGAAGCACTTTTATGAGTACACCTCAATTAGACTGGGTGACTTTTTATTCTTAACTTGCTACAAATTTAATTTCAGATTTAGAACTCAAAGACGCGTATCAAGAGACAAAGCATTTACCTTCCAAACTTTTGTATAAAAATAAAAATGTATAAATTAATTTTTCAAATATTTTTTGACAGCCCAGTTATTCCACTTGATCTACCACTAATTTATTTCCCACTCAAATATTGTTGTATATTGCAGGGTTTCTACTCTGCCTGTGTATCGTATGGTGTAACCTGGCCGTGATGTGTGCCTTGTGTCGCTTCGGTCGCTGTGACAAGTCGCGACATCCCATCACGCTGCCTCGTCGCATCAGTCGCAATCAATCACTCACCTTCAACGCCTGCACCAGGGAGGAGATGGCCTTCGCCAGGCTGATGGCACTTCTGTGTGTTGTCTTCGTACTGTGTTGGATGCCACAGATGGTGAATTGATTTATACTGTTATTCGCTGGTTAAACACACAATAGTTTTACCAACTAGGCCTAGTGAAAAAATAAATAAAATTTTAGAGAACTAAGTATGCTTTTATTGGTTATAAAGGACAACAGAAATATCTCTGTTCAACAATGTAGTAGAGTATAGGACACATAAGGGTGTAGGTTTTATGGATAGTTGCTTTTATGGATAGTTGCTGGTAAGGCAGCCTGACCTGAATCGGGAAGGGTCCCAACCCTAGCATAAGAACACAGAAACCAACCAGAAACTGATGATCACTCCCACAATAATAAGAAAATTTCACTGTCTCTGACAGCATTTTCAACGAAATAGTATTATCATCATACTGACCAACAAAAGTAGACTTGTAAAATTTGAAGCTCGTTTTTGTGTCTAGTTCATGTTTTGTGACACTGTCGACAAAATTATGTTTCTATTATTTTATTTATTTATTTGCATATCAATAAAACATTACAGGCATCAATGCCCAAATACAATGTAACATTATACAGTTTAGATCTGTAAAAGTCAATGGTTTGGATCCAAGTTGAAAGTCCATGCAGTCTTAAGTACAACATCACAATTGACATAATATTTAACTAATGCCAAAAACCAAGAATAAATAAACTTTAAAAGAATAAATAAATTTCAAACTAATGCCATAGATAAAACATACTCCCTTAGTAGATTTCTCATCCTTATGGAACAGCTGAAGACAATTTTATTGTTAGTTCTGTATGGTTTTCTGTAGAGGTCGTGTTTTGTTTACAATTTGTTTCCCGTTATTACAGCCATTTAAAACCTCGTTTAACCAAATAATACGATCTAATCATAAACAATAACCTGTCCCTTAGTTATATAAGCAAACAGTGAAGCACAAATCAAGAAATTAAACCTAAAATAATAGAAACAAAATTTCGTTGACACTAGCGCCCAGTGTGGCGTACATGAACTAGACATGAAAAACGAGCTTCAAAATTTACAATGGGATGAGAAGTCTACTTGTGTTGGTTAGTCTATGCTAATGCCAAAAACCAAGAATAAATAACTTTCTTAGGTTTAATCATTGACTATTGGATCCTGTTGGAAATGTTTAACTTTTTAACTTAGTCCCCTTTGGATTATTTTTTAACAACACTTTGAGAAACACATGTTATTAATTTGCATATGTCTAAATAATGTTAATTGTTTTGTAGAAATATAAAAAACAAAAAAAATGTAACTTTTTAAAACTGGTTTAACTTATTTGGCAAGAAACCAGTTTAATTTAAGAGTTTTGTTACATATACACAGTTAGTATTAATAGTCAAAGGTTTAATTTCATGGTTTGTGCTTTACTGTTATAAAACTAGGGGACAAGTTCCAGTTATTGTTTATGTGAATAGATCTTTTGTTTTATTTGGTTAGACGAGGTTTTAATCTACTGAAATAACATGACACAAATTGTAAACAAAAACACATCCTAGGGGCACCAGACAGAACAACAATAAAGATGTCTTAAGCTGATCCATAAGGATGAAAAATCTACCAATGTATGTTTAATCTATAGTATTATCTTCTGGACTTATTTGTTCTAATTTCAAACTTTTTGTGTTTAAGTAACACCACCTAGTGTAACTATGAATCATTCACGTGTAACTATGAATATGAACGCAATGTGAGCGTATAATAAAGCAAGATGACAGCTTTGTTGCTGACTGAGATAGGATGTTTCTTTATCCAGGACCATTTATTAAAGGACCGAAGGTATATTTTTTATTTTTCAAAACGCCAATAAACTATAGATATTTCCTAGGAACAAAACATATTTCATTTTACTGACTAAAACAACCACTACAAGCATATTCTTTATACACAGCTACTTTTAGTGATTGTAACTATACTCAAGAACAATAATTGAATGCTATATGTAAATTAAGATACAATTTTCTTGTAGATATCCATACCAATGGCCCAGGTGGCTCCCAAGTCAACCATCAGTAACCTGTTCTTCCGTCTCGCGGATGTTCTGATGCTTCTCCACTTCACACTAGACCCGTACCTCTATGTTCTGCAGCGTTGGCCGTTCTTCCGAGGACTATGCGGCGTTCGCAGCCGCAACAACTCCATCAAGAACTCCCATGAGATCAGCATGCACTGATGCCACTTTTGTAACATCTTTACGTACGGTGTCTAACCATTGACTTTTAGATACCTTTAGGTACGGAAATAGATATCCCATCTATGTGGGACCAGCTATAGCCAATTTATTATTGATAGATTGATCATTGTTGAAAAAATTAACTAAATAAATAATGGTTATATTTGTTTCTAGCACAGTAATAAAGAGAATACATTATAACACTAAAGTGTAGTCCATGGTGGTACAATGGTCAATATGGTACTGGGTACTACTGGATTCCTTAACATTGTCTTATCTGCAAGGCTGATCTGTAAGAATGGTAAATCTATAAGGGAGTAATGTATGTGCTTAATCCACATGTAAAAAAATCCTTAGAGTAAATATTGTGACCTCATATATGTAATCCATGTTGTTTTGTAAACCCATATGCCAGTATGTCTATGAATGTGATAAAAATGGTTTCAGACAGCTTAATAAGCCTTTTTTTACTCGTCTACGCCAGTGCCATTTGAGAAGTCAAAGAGTTAGTATTAAAAACTTTTAAGGGAAAGCGTTCCAAACCCATTAGAGTGAATGTGCCGGGAATTGAACCCATCGTAGTCTGAGACGCTAAGCACTAGGTTAGCAACACACCCAATACCTATATCCCTTACAAGTTTATCTCAATCTAGATATAGTACTGATCGAGGTTACGATTTCTGTGTCTTTAGGGTGGGAGAAGATCTACAATGCAACTTCTTCTTCTGCTCCTATTATGCTGTAAATATTTTGTAAACAATTAAAATGCTTACATACACATAATTTGAATCTATATTGTAGATATTTCCCCTCTTGTATCAAGAGTGTAAAGATGTAATATATTTGAAAGTACAGTATGTCTCGCTCTCATGTTAAGTGTTACACATTATTGGAACAAAAATAACAAAATAGTTCTACCCATCGTTAAGCATAAACATATTTTAGATGTGTAAAAATTGTAATTTCGGAGTTAGCATATTTTTTTAGATTATTTGGCATGTAAAGTACGGTAAAACTTCTGATTAAAAAAAAGTATTTCATATAAGCACTACATTTAAATATAGACAAAGTCTAATAATGCAATTTATTTCCCTTATTCATATTACTGTAATGTTCGTTGTGCCATAAAATAATATCTAGTCCTAGGCTGTGTGCTTTGATGAACCAAGTATTTTCAACAAATATGTATTACATGTAGTGTTTGTAAATATAATAAAAATCATACTTTAGCTATGCTGAGAATGTTTATTTCTAATCCTATAATTTTACCTTCTGCTTAACGCATATACACCAATTACAAATCCACTAGTTAACCCATATTGCTCAAAATACTGTATTTATCAAAACTTTAAAGTCTCTATGACATTAATAATGGTTTTAAACAGCACTACTTTTACATCGTTGCCAATCAGAATCAGGCAGGCCGTGGCCTGGAGTTAAAGATGGCTGTGACAGCCCAAGCCTGTGATCCGATTTTTATAAAATTTGATAAGTGGGTACTAATTCATGACATCTCCAGGAAATTTTTCTCATTTTTTTGAAATTAGTCAAAGAGGTATAACCTTTGTTTAATAATCACACAGTACTTTTAACTGTGAACAAAATCGTACAACCCCCATTTCTGTAAAAATTGCTGTTTAAAAGTTATCACAACTTTTGTGATTTTTCCCATCAAAAATCTTAGTTACTCCCACTTACTCCCACTGCTTACCTATGATAAGGGTTGTTGACAAGTTAATGGGAAAAAGTACAGTATTTGATCTCTCAAACTCTTGGGGTCGTAATAGTTCAAAACAACGTTCAACACATGTATTCCTTAAATAGTTAAATGGGAGTACGCCCCAAATGCCACATGAGAATGAACGAAGATATTTCCATGCATACAAATTATTCATCAGGCGCCCAACCAAGCACTAGGTTGAATCAAATCCAACCTACGTTTCAACCACTTTTTTCATTTTAATGAGCTAAGGGCTGGCGCGCACTAGTCTGACCACGACCACGAGCAAACGCCCGACCGGTCGTTGTCGTTCACCATGCGACCACAGCACGACCCTACAAGATGGACAGTGTCAAGATGGATGTTGAAGGAGTGGCTCCAAAGCTTCCTTTTCCCCTATCCTATAAACACGGCATTTCTTTGATAGCCATAATAAGACTCTCAGTGTCAAAATCCTGCCACATTTTACAAAAGAAAGTCACTTCACAAACCGCACAAAAACAACTGCTTATACAGTTTGATTGATCTCGAAATACGTTATGTAACTGTAGGAAAAGGAATTTTGTCTTTCATCTTCTAAAGAAATGCCAACCAACGGGATAGACATAACAAATACAAATTAAATCTTTACTATAAAAATCTTGGTCTTTCACTATGTTCAGTATAATATTACCATAACAAGTAGACTTCTCATCTCATTGTAAATTTTGAAGCACGTTTTTCGTGTCTAGTTCATGTACGGTGACACTGGGCGCTAGTGTCACCAAAATTTTGTTTCTATTATTTTAGGGTTAATTTCTTGATTTGTGCTTTACTGTTTGGTTATATAACTAGGGGACAAGTTATTGTTTATGATTAGATCGTATTATTTGGTTAAACGAGGTTTTAAATGACTGTAATAAAACATAGTCCCTTATAAAACATACTACCCCTTATAGTAGACTTCCCATCCTTACAACAGTTGAAAGAAATTTTATTGTTAGTTCTGTCCGGTGCACTATGTAGACGTCGTTTTTTGTGTAGATTTTGTTTCTTGTTATTTCAGCCATTTAAACCTTCTTTATCCCAGAGTAAATACAGTAAATATTTGCCAATAAAACTATATAATCATAAACAATTACTTGTACCAGAGTTATATAACCAAACAGTAAAGCACAAATCATGAAATTAACCATAAAAATAATCGAAACAAAGTTTTGTCGACACTAGCGATCAGTTTCACCGTACATGAACTAGACACGAAAAAACGAGCTTCAAAATTTACAATGGGATTAAAAGTCTACTTGTGATTTTTCAGTCTATGATAATACCTATGATAATACATAGGTGTAAAAATATACTCAATTATTAAATTAATAAAATATGTATTCCGCAATATAGTTTGACATTTAATATAGTAGCACTATTACCGTAAGAAGTTTTAAGAGTTTCACTGTTTCCGTTAGTATGTTTTACTTCTTTCTTAGTCAGAACCTTGTTTTACTTGATTTCTCTATTCTTTCCGGCAACGTCGGTTGCAAAGATGACGGGATTTAGTGAGAAGGTAAGCTAATTTTGATAGTAATTTATGTTTATTTTTTATAACAACTTGATTTTTAAACACTTTACTACACTAGCACATCAGTAACTTAATATCAAGTTAGGCCTATATTGACCTTACATGTTCATCACATTCTATGTGTCAGTGCTACCTATCCCCAGTTAGCGTTTCTTCTCTGCACGTGAAAAAGAGTTAGGCTATGGTGTTTATAATAGGCCTTACTTAGGCTATTTATATAACTGTTATTGAGCCAACAATTCTAGAACATGAACTAAAAGACAACTTTTGCAACCTCCTTATACAGTCAAGCTATGTAGTCCTAAGGTTTTCGGTCCCCTTATCATGTAGGTAGGTCTAGCCTAGGTTCATCAACCCTAGGCTTTAGACCTAGCCTATGTGATTCAGTCAAGGCAAATTTTCGTAAACGTACCTACTGGTAGTATACAGCCATGTTAACCACATAAATTAAAAAGTACTAAAACTAAAATGTTTAAAATGTTTTTTCTTTGACGAAATCTATCCAGTCACTACTGGTCATCGATGGATACATGGTATAAAGGTATAAAGGTATATATAACTTCTTTATTTTTTCTGGTTGCACTTTACTTAGTTTATGAGGGTACACTTCCATATCTGTTGGTACAAACAACTGAATGAAAATATTGATTGATATATCGTTTGGTTAGTTAGGTAAGGTTAACCCTTAGAGTGCCAGGCGAGAAATAAAAGTAACGCTAAAAAAATGCCGATGATTTTTCCCGAAGGTCGCGCTAAAAATGCCGAGCGCGATCTGGTGATTTTTAGGTTAAAATTTCGTAAAAATCGAATTTTTGATATCTCGACCAACGAAAATCGATGTATCGCATGTAGTAACTTTCGACTCAATGGTAATATATGGGTTAAAAGAATCCGAGTATCCATTCGGTTGTTATGACAACTGTTCAATCATTACGAAACGTCCGGTCAGCCGGACGTTGGCACTTTTGGCTCGTTCTAAAAACGTCCGGTCGGCCGGACGTCAGCACTTTTGGCTCGTTTTAAATACGTCCGGTTCCCCGGACGTTGGCACTCAAAGGGTTAACCTAACCTAACTAATACTAAGTTAATACCGAAACCCTGGTTTGACAGGCCCACGGGAATTTTCAAAAACACATGTTGGCAACACTGTTTACTTGGGAGATTCCATTCCCCCAATAGGCCTACCTTCCCCCCTTTTCCTCCCCTACCTATTGATACCTATATTGTTTGTTCATTTTGCATGGGTGCCGTGACCTTAACAGGTTGTCTAGTTCATAACATGCCCGTCTCAGAAGCCCATCGTTAGTGTATTTTAAAGCGGGGTCTCACAGGCCGAGGGTTTCGGTTTGTGTGTGTAAGTGGGGTCCATTACTTTATTTTTCAAATGGGGTCTCACAGACCGGGGGTTTCGGTATTAGTGCTAACCAAACGATAACTTATATCGAATAAATGACCGAATAACTTAATCTACATTACAGTAGGCCTACTCATTCGGTTGTTTGTGCCAACAGATATGGAAGTGCACCCGTTTACGACTTAGTTACTTTACTTAGCCTAAGCTTAGGCCTAGTTTACATATTTACTATGTTACAGTATTGTAAATCAACTACCAACTGATAATTAAATGAGACGGGTAGACTTCCGTAGGCCTATCTGTTATCGAAAACTACTGAATGGAAATAATTAAAGAGGTGAACCATAAGTTAAGTTAGGTCCTTCACCCGGACAATGGAACCTACGATAAAACATCTCATGAGTTTGTATGTAGGCTAGGCCTAAGTTTTACAGAATTCTAAAATCCTGACCAACCTTGGCCTTATGATTGAGACTATATCTAAGCCTAGACCTTAGCCTAGTGATGGAAATGACAGCTAGGCATACTTTTTGGTAACGTTACAATAGTTCCGTGACTGGGGCCGGTAATAGGCTAGGCCTAGGTGACAGTATTACTTAGGGGACTTTTGACACCTAATACTGCCCAAGTCACGAGCCCGCACGGAACGAATGGCAAATAAAGGGTGACTGTAACTGCTTACATAAATAAGTGGCAAGAAACAAGGTTATGGAGTGATGTGGGAACTCTTGACCTTAGTTAAGTTTAGTTCGTCACACGACAGTCACTGTCATTGTTTAGCGCTGCACATGGTGCAGCCTAGTTCCAGTCAATTCAATAACTTACTTCTTGTTACTTCGTTTATGTGAGCAGTTAGATGTTCGTAGCCTACCTTTTCAAAACGCTAGAGATGACAGGGAACACAGGTGAACAGCTAAACAGCGTCAGTGATAAGACCTCCTGCGTCACTGCAATACATAGGTAAATTGTCACTTCAGTTATGTGACCAGTTACAAGGTTATTCGTTCTGTGCGGGCACGTCATTTTGTTTGCCAGTAAATGTGAGTAAAGAAACGTTGGTGACTTAGACTTAAATTTAGTTATAAAAAATGTTATGTACAAAAGTAATAGGGTATTTAAAGAAACCTAATTACCAAAATAACCGTGACCTTTTAGGTCCTACCTTGGTTTCTTACTGTGAATCTTAGTTAGCCTAACTTAACAGGAGGTCGATGGAAATTAAAAATTTAATGAGTTCAGAATAATACTCAACAGCCGCTTGAAGTTACGTTAGGCCCGAGCTCAACCACATTGTAAGTTTTCAACAACCACGCCAGGAAGTTTTCGGCGTAGACCAAGGGCCCAAAACTGCAAAATAAGTATGATGCTTAAATAACTTAAATGCCTAAAGTAAAGTTACACAACCTATGCCCCCTAGGTAGCAAAAGTTATCAAACAAAATTTTCATGAGAACAGTTAAGTTATCCTAAATATTAAATAAGGTTTTGAGGAACAAATTTAAAACTTTGAAACAGATCAACTTGATATTAACTTAAAACCATGATGAATAAATTACTCTCTGCAGTAAGTTAGCTTATAAAAACCTATTCTCATTGCCCCCTACGCCTCTTATTTCTAGGCTAGATATTAAAACAGACAATTGTCAAGATAATTAAAAAGGCTAGAAATGCAATAGGTCCTGTGTGTCTGCAAAGTTTGCCATATGTCTTACACTGTGAGTTCCCACAACAGGAGAAATTTGATGAGTGTTAAAGAAAATTGCCTCTTGTATTATAGCCTCCACTGACTCGTGCGTGTTGTTCAGGCTGCTGCTTGTATCGTACCCGAGGCCTTGGTCTATTTCCATTAATATTGATTTTAGCCAATTTCCCTAAAAGGGAAGTAGATATTGCCATATATATAGGTGGCACGGTGAGACCTAGCTAGGCCTTGGACCGATTTACTTTTAATTTTGATGTCTCCAGAGGCACAACCACCCTTCAAATTGATGTAGGTACATATGTAGGCTATTACCCCCTGTGTAGCAGAAAACCTAGGTACTGGTACTTGTTAACCTGTGTTATTTAAATTGAAAATACAATTAGGTGTAACTGGTGTAAGTGGGAATTCGCTTAGCCTGCAGGTTTGCTGTGGCAGTGGTATTATTCATTCACTCCATTAACTTACTTAGCCTTAAAATGATAGGCTCATCGTAGTAACTTAATTGATCTGAGTGTGTAATTTAGGCGATTCTCATCGACGGCAGAGGCCACCTGCTGGGTCGTCTTGCTGCCATCGTGGCCAAGACCATCCTCCAAGGCAACAAGGTAGTTGTTGTCAGAACAGAACAGATCAACATTTCTGGTAACTTCTTTAGGTAAGTAATTCTCAAATACTGCAATTCAATGTAATTTCCTGTAGATTTATTCATACAAATATTGTCTTGTGTTTAATCAAATATGTTTCCTGTCCTGTCATTCAATCTTAGTAAAATTATACCTAAAAAGCGTGTCTTCTAACTGGTAAAACTGGGATTTGTACTCAATTTTTGTGCGGGAATTGTCCTAAAATATCAGACTATATGTCCTTACATTACATAGTTAAGGAAGTTCGCATGGTTGATTTAGCCTAAATTCACACCTTTTCCGCGATCATGGATGACGTCTATAACGTTCCCGTAATCGAGGTAGTTAATGGTGAAACACTACCGCGGGAGATGCCCAGGGTTTTCTGCAATAGCGGATGGCGATGATATTATTTCCATGATTGCGGGAGATTTAGGACTTCGCCTTGATGGCGGATGAGGATGAAAATGATTCTGTGACCGCCGTGACAATGTTGATGATCACACAACTACTGGAGATATTCAGGATTTTGCCGCAGTTGTGAAAGACGCTGATAATGTTTCCGTGTCCGATGAAGCTTAATCAGGATTCCTTCGCTGTCGCGGGAGACAATGATTGTGTTTCTATTAGACTATAAAGCTGGGACACTTTTCTGTGGTTGTAACTAACTAAATTTTTTTCTCATTTCAATCATTTTATATTTTGAAACTAATCCTTGTCTATTATTACCAATGAATACAAACCATATAAGAAATAAAATGCTAATGTTAAAAATTTATCATGAGATTTTTTTATGGCAAGTTTCTGTGGCAAGCGCTCAGTGGCAACGCTCGGTAGGAAAGGTGCTGCTATCGGGACCCCACAGCAGTGTGAGTGAGACAGAATTGGCGTAGAGATAGAGGGAGTGAGAGAGAGATGAGACTATTGCTTACCTAGCGGCGGCCATGCAAAGCTCATATCAGCGGCAAAATCCAGCCTGATTATTTCCCATAACCATTCCTCTTCTTAAAACATTTGTATTGTTATTATTTACTTTTCCTTCTCGTAAAACTATAGTAAAGAAAGATACAGTCCGACAAATCATGAAAATATATTTGGTAACAACACTTAGGCTACAAAGGCAATGACAAAGTGTTCTTACATGTAAGTCACGAGAATAGTCCATGAATCTTATACCGAGAACAAAGTAGAGACCCTGATCTAGATAAATCCATGTTTAAGCTACTTAACATCACATAGGCCTTCCTAAGCTACCCTATGAATGTTTACTTAGGCTGAAATTTAACCGTCATACTGTCATGTAAATTTTCATCAATTCCATTCAGCTGTGTGTGGTTCAACGCACAGTAGGTTAATGCCAAACATCTTGGTGTTTAGGTTAACAATAAAAAATAACAATTTAACATTCAGGGTGTCCACTAACCAGGATATCTGGAAATTATCCGTGGTTTTATAATAAATAAATAAATAATGCTATGGGAAATCTAATTAGCAGTAGGCCATATTTATAGTGATCTTATCATTACTCTACTAAGGCTCAAGTTTAATTAAAAGTTTAATCAAAGCTTGCTTTTTGGATATAATAAGATTTGGGTCAACTTTGGCATATCAAATGACACACACGGTTGATCGGGTATTAAATTTAATCCACGCTTCTTGGTGTAATCTTAGATTGGTTAGCAAAAAAAAAATATTCTTGTGTTCTGTTAGCCACATGTTCCGCTGTAATGTATACCATTAAAAATCCACGTACACTGAGAGTAAAATGACTAATTTATTAACTTGTTGTACTGTAGCCTATTCATAATTCATAAACACGTTACACTCCACTTGAGTTTTCACGTAACTTAAAGCATCCAACTAATACTGTGTTAAACCTTGCCAACAGGAGTAAATTGAAGTACTTGGCGTTCCTACGCAAACGCTGCAATGTCAACCCTGCTCGTGGACCCTTCCACTTCAGAGCTCCCAGCGCAATCCTTTACAGGACCATCAGAGGTAAATGGCCTACCTTGAACAATTTGTATTAACAATCATCACTACCGTAGGTTTTAACTCATGCTGTAGGCCTACTGAAGCTTCATGCTTTCTATTCAGGCTTAGTATCAAACTGTTGGTTTTATTTTAACCATTGTTGACCAACCCAAAGCAGAAAGGCAGACTAAATGATATCCAAATGTTGCATGACAATTCCAATATTACACAAATAAGATGGGGATGAAGAGAGTTAGCATCCATTAGTAAAACAATGTCTTCTGTTCAATGATGTTAAATTTTTCTTACCTACATTATCTGATGGATAGTGAATGAATAGTAATCACTGAGAACATGAAGCTTTGCTTTGATGTAAAAAGGTAGTTTTTCGTTCATATAATCTAGATCATTAAGCTTTTCCAAGATTACTGGTGGGAAAGTATTTTTCCTTGTATGATTTATTTGACCCAGTTGAATCCTTTCCTACAGTGTATTTAATCATTTCACACACACATATACATACACACTAAATAAAGATATCTCTAGGCAAATTTACATGCAAGTTATTTTTTAGAGCCAATCGAAATTGTTCCCTTTTTCTTTGAATACGTACTTAAATAGACTTTGAATTTAAATAAAAAAAATAAAACAAAAGATAAGATAAGCTATATTGTTTTTTTCCCAGATCCGTTAAAGCTGGGTTTTCCTAGGCGCGGAAGCGGAGAGAGGAACGCGGAGAGCGGAGAGAGGAACGCGGAGAGCGGAGAAGAGATTAACATGGTGTTCCGCTCCGCTTCTAGGAAAGCAGTAACATTAAATTGCCTAAGATCTGCGGAGTCCGCTCTCCGCGTTCCTCTCTCCGCTCGCCAATTCCGCGCCTAGGAAAACCTGGCATTAACCCTTCATCGTTGACACCTTTTCCACAACAAGTTTTCCTCCAGGTGCATTTGTTTTAATAGAAAAATATTGTTATTGCCAGCCGGCAGTTTTAAGAGTAGGTAATAGTACCTCACTTGTGTCTTTCTAGGAACCGATTGAATTATTTTGCTCTCACACCTCGCCCATACACCCCCTGTTAATCAGTTTTAACAATTAAAAACCGACTCCATGTGTCACCTGTGGTGTTGTTTTTGTTTGCTATATATTTTTAAAAATATATGTAAACTAAGAGTTTTTTTATGTCATGTACAATTTTACTGATTATACATGGTTTTAATTTATGTTTTTTAATAATATAGGCCTATGTATAAAATTACATTGTTCGTCTAATGTTTCAATAGGCTAACCAGAAAAATCTTGTGGCACCGATCGTGTTATAAAATCAAAGACACCCATGAAGGGTTAAAATATACGATGTTATAATAAAAAACCTTAGGCACCTCAAACATTAGTGTAGAGGGTTCAGAACTTCTATTGGCTTATGTGGGGTTTAAGATGTCATTATTATATTAATTAGAGGGGACAAATTTGAATGAGTTTAGTGTTGCACGATATCCTTACCTACATTATCTGAATATTCTGAAGAATATATGTAAGACTGAGAACCCAAAATATTCACAGTAATAGCAACCAAATGAACCTCACTAATGTCTTGGGTTTCAATCTTAAATTTTTAATTTATGACAGGATGAACTATGCATGCTACACCGATACAATTAATACATTATGGTTAAGTAATGTAACCTAGAAGTAGAGACAAGTATCTGTGATGAATATTTTTTCTTCCCGTGCCTCTGAGCCTATATGAAGATAGGGTTTTTCTGAGATACTTGTTCACTACCTACTATAAATATCTTGCACTTAGATAATTAAATCTGTCATTATTTTCTGGATTGTTAATGCTAAGTAGTCTTAATTTCATCAACGTTCCCGGGATTATTTTAACTTTTCATTTGACTAAATTTGAAATGAATTCTAGGCAGCTTTTCAAATTGGCAATATTTAACTGTATAGGCCTACAATTAATTATTTATTGCAAAATTTCATGTAGAATGCTGGATCTGGTGGTTGGGACAAAACCTAAAGCTGTGCATTCATCAATCTTGTATGCAATCAAACTCAAAGGCAAAAAAGGTGTCTAATAGATTTTCCACCAAAGCCGTATGCCAGTTTTAATGCAAAACCAATTTAATACTTACTTAGATTCATTACCGTGTTGTTGCTAGTCCTTTTTAATAAGGTATTCTGTACCAATTGGTGTGTATTTTGATGGTAGGCTTACGTTTAACACATACATTTATGCCATATTCATTCACCCATTGCTTATCTTCAGGTATGATTCCACACAAGACAAAGCGCGGTAAAGAGGCGTTGAAGAGGTTCAAGGCTTTTGAAGGCTGTCCGCCCCCATATGACCGCCGCAAGCGCCTTGTGGTGCCGACAGCCATGCGAGTCATGTGCCTGAAGCCTGGCCGCGCCTACTGCCACCTGGGGCGTCTGAGCCACGAGGTCGGCTGGAAATACAAGGACGTCGTCCGTGCTTTGGAGACCAAGAGGAAGGTTAAGGCTGTGTTCAGCATCAGACGAAGGAACGGTCTTAAGGTGGGTGACAGAGAGGATTAATTTAGTGGTTTACTAACAAATAGTGAGAAATTGGAGGCGAAGGAACAAACGGTTTTAAGGGAGGTGTCAGAGAGGGTAAAGTTTATGGTTTTGCTAATAAATGGTGAGAGATTGGCCTTAATTGTGCAGTTTTGAACTTTGGCTATAGCAAAATATATTAGGTTAAGATTCTGTAAATTTTCCATAATTTGTTGAAGTTTATTTTAGTAATTTAGCTTGTAAGATAATAGGGGTTTGATAATTTTATATTTAATTGGCAAAACAGCTTTCTCAAAATCAATCAATCAATTTTAATGAGTTCAATGATGAATAACATATCCTTACCTACATTATCTGAATTTGCTGAAGAAGAGCACCAATAAAAACTGAGAACTCAAATTGAAGTCAACAGAAAAATTAAGTAAGCTAGGTATTTCTATATCTTTGACTTAAATTACTTTTGATTAAATTTGAAAATGATTGAAATTAACAAGATTTATTTTTTGCTGAGTTTGGACAAGTATCTGTGATGATTTTATTTTTCTTCCCGTGCCTCTGAACAAATTTGAAGATAGGGTTTATCTGAGATGCTTGCCCTAATTTGATATCCAACAATATCTATCTGACTGTTCTTCATAGAATATGTTAAATGTTTTAAAAACAAAATGCGCATAATCATAATTTGTTTTCCAGTACGTAATACCAACACGTTTCCAATCGCATAATAATGGTAAATGACGAGTAATCGTTTAAGGCAAATAACACAACATTAATGTGAGCGCCGTCTGCTGCCGTCATAAATAAATGAATCAACAAATAATTACTGTAACAATATTTGATATACACAAATCGATGTGTTGGACAGGAAAAGTGTGCAGTTGACTTAAATATTAACAATCAAAGTAATGTCACATGGGGTAGTACATATTAACCTGGTACTCTTTATTACCTTATCAAGTTTTATTTATGTGTATTCAAACATTCCTGAACTCAAAGACATATAAGTTGATAGCCTACTACTAGAGCTAAGGTTACTAAGAACTAATAGATTTCTTGTTTGTTGCTATTGGATTGATCTTGTCTTATAATTAATTAGTCTAGAACGAAACATTTAAAATAGAACAAATCCACTGAGTTCAAATTAATGCAAATGTTTGTAGAAGTTGAGCTGCGCTGCCGTGGTAGCTTACAACCATTGTGTGCTATAATATTAAGGCTACAAATAAAATAAAAATCTTACTTATAAAACTAAATCTATAGGCTAAGTTATAAATGAAAATGAGTTCTATGATGTTAAATTTGATTCCTTACCTACATTATCTGAACTTTCTATGAAAGATACACTATTTTCTGAGAACTCAATTACTTTGAATTTTTTTTTTCATTCTAAAATTAATAATTTTTTTTATGCGCAACCTATTTGAATAAACATCCTTCCTTATTACAGTTCCTACATATTTTTCCCTATGTTCTGCAAGTTGGGTTGACAAAGTTCTAGGTTACTTTTTACCATATCAGGAGGGCAAACTCCTCATCTCATCGTGAGAAACAAACCTTAATACAGCTTGTTTGTAAAGCTGTAAACGAGTTCAATGATGCTAATTTTAATTCCTTACCTACATTATCTGAAACTTCTGTGAAAGATTGATACTCAATTTTCTGAGAACTCGTAATTCAGTTTTTTTACACACATGACGGCTAAAAAAATTGAATATACATCTTTTTATTAGCTTGGTTAAAACTTCATCTTTGTAAATCAATTTTAACACCATAATTTTTTTGTCAAAATTGTTCAAACATAAAATAATAAAAAGGATAATAAAATCACTTTTCCTAAACTGACTTTCCTTGAAGTTCATTTAGTGAGTTTACATATTCCAATTATTTTTATTTTTATTAGTCTCATAGAATTTCTTCCTAAGGCTATCCAACCCTATCAAATCACCTTGCTTTAACACACATTACAACATTTCACAACCAGCAAATATTATACATACTCCATCAATTTTATGTGTGCAATTCCAAACTACTGTAATTTGTTTTTGTAATTTGTTTTGTTGTAATTTGGTTTTTTTTAGTGAGTCGGTGGCTCAGTCGGGAGCGTCGCGGACTTCGGGCCCAAGGCAGCGATGTCGTGGGTTCGGATCCTGGTCACTGCCGATAACATTTTATCAGTACAGTTCACCTTTGTACTGTACCGGCTCACTCCTTGCTTTGCTGTAAACGATCCACGCACGGGCGCTTAGTCTATGTGGACGGGCAAATGCAAGGTTAAAAGAGGCTGCCAACCTCTTTAAAAAAAAAAAAAAAAATAAAAAAAAAAAAAAAATTGTTATAATTTTTCTGTATTTTTGTTTCAGAAACTGACTAAAGAAGCTGGAAAGAAGGTCGCAAAGCAGACCAAACATTTTGACAACATCATCAAGTCTTACGGTTACGGCCACGTGTAAACCATGTAATAAACTTGTTTATTTTACAATCTTTGGAAATATTCTTTTGTCATTCCTAGTTCTGAGGATTTAAAGATAAAAATTTTGTTAAGGGGGAATCCTGACAACACTTAATTACTAAATGATTAAAATCCATTTAAATAAGGCTCGTATTAAAAGCCTGCAAAGTATTCTGACAAATCGATTCTGGTTTTTTTAGTCCTAATCTTTGGGTGGTTGTAATTTACTCTACCATGTTGATAAATTTGGATTAAAACTCTTAGGGCCGCTTTCCCCAAATCAAGTTTAACTTAATCTCGGTTAACTTTAATCGGTGGGTTAAACTTAGGATGGCTTTCCCCACTATTTTGTCATGAAAGTTTAGTTTAACCCTGGTTTAACCTAGATTTCTTTGCAAGCAACAATGTTGGCAACACTGTTATGCAATTTTGTCTGCAATATTGTTTAGCTCCCCACTATAGACTATGACATATCTGCCATTAATTTTCTCGTGTTTTGGTTATTTTTATATTTGAATTAAGTTTCGTGTCATTGTCTCCTCCAATTTTTTACATTAAAAAGAAACATTTTTATTTGCAGGCGACTGCTATTATATAAGCATTTCGTTACTTGTGTTTAATTAACCTCAAACTTAATCAAACAGTAGGCCTACTGCACGCATGAAATAACTGCATTAATTACAATCATGTGAAAATAAAATGTTGGGAAAGACCCGAAATTAATGTTTGTGGATTAAAAACTAGAGCCTAACAGCCTAACCTTTGTAATGACAGGCATAGGCTACTCAGCATTAGATACGTTCGATCAATGTTTCTAAACTAAATTTAAATTTCAGGCCTAGGCCTACTACAGTAGTTGTTAATTCACACATGATAATAGGCTAGTGGTTAGGCCCGAATGTTAACTAATATTTACTTTTGTGTAACGTAAGAATCGTGTTAAAATAAAATCAAACCAAAAGGCTTATTATGAGCGATTAAACTTTCCAACCAATGTTGCGTTTCTGTGGACAAGGTAACCTATCGATTGTACACAACTACAATACTACCTACCGAAAATATAATAATTTAGGCCTACTTTACGCATTGAAAAACCTTAAAAGCATTATATCTGTAGCCTTATATTTTTAAATTTGAAATAGTCATGATGAATTAATTGTCTACATGGGTTCTGGTTTGCTATTTCTTATTTCCAGTTCAGTTTATTTTAGGTTATGTTTGACAAGACAAACGTCAAACAGAAACAAGGATATTTTTTGTCATTGCCGTCTGCCGAACGTAACTAGTCAGCCAAGAGCCAATCAAAATCAAGCTATTCTTCTCTTCTGGTTTATCCCATGAATCGCCAGTTAAACCAGCCTCACCCGGAGGGTTAACTTAAACCTAGTTTAAACGGAGAAATTATTTTGGGGAAAGTGGATCTGAGGTTAAACTAGAGTTTAAACCACGATCAGAGTTAAACTTGATTTGGGGAAAGCGGCCCTTAATCAGATAAACTAGAAAATCGTTTTAAGAACCTCAAGTATATAGGACAGTTAGGCCTAATGGTATAAAATTAAGTAAAATATACCATGTGTTTAAATCTTTTCTGATCTGTTTATGCTGTTTCTTTGAAATTTAGCAAAGCTTTCCCTATTTATAATTTATTGTAAATTAAAATTGGGATGTGCTTACCTTAACCCAACGACTTAGGGGATAGGCCTAAGTGTAAAATTGAGTGAAATGCCATTTGTAGCTATGTTACAGACTAAGACCAGCTGTTTCTTAACCAAACATTAGCTAATTGATCAAGGGCAGTGTTGGGGTCAATCAAGGCCACACTAAAAAACAGGCCGTAATGCTCGTCAAGCATGACACGATAGAAGACGGCAATGACGTAGGTATTTTTTATTAATTTTCCAAGGAAAGATTAAAACAAGCAGCTTATCACAAACGGCAAACATTACGTCATTGCCGTCTTTTATTGTGACGTCATGCTTGACGAGCATTACGGCCTGTTTTTTTTAATGTGGCCTTGGATCAATGAACAAAACCTGACTTTTTTCAGGACACTTTCCATTGTTGTTTGCTTCTCTTGTTTTTCTCAAGTTTTGATAAAGTGTCTTATGCAGTTGAAAAAAAAACAAAACAAAAAAACTATTAGGCTATACTATGAGCTACATTGGGTTGAGATTCAGAATTGTTATTTTTAGTCCATACTATATTATAGTATGGGGGGGAAACAAAATTTGTCTGAAGTTATAACTTTCAGAGTAATACTGGACCCACAATTGTTCACTCAAACCTAAGTTACTAACTCTGTGCCCTTGTAACAAACTAAGAATCCAAGAAGATAAAACGTCACTAGCATTTCTGTCAAAGTAGACTATTGATAACTGATGGACGATGGTTTGGTTTTAGAGGCACATGAAACAGAATTTGTAAATAATTGTCCGTCAAAAGAATAGATCACAACTTGTTCAAATTCAACCTAAGGCCCGTTTTATGCACCAGTGGCAGCTCCTGCAATTCTGTAAGTAGCCTAAATTGACTGAAATGGGTGGTTTTACCGCCACTTGTAGCGGTTTGGCTGGGCGCACACTGATCCAGCATTTTACCTGAAGCAAAATGTTGCACAGCGATTTGCTTGAAGCGTTTTATTTCTTTGCTTCTCCAGTGTGCAAGCAGGATGCAGCATTTGGTTTCAAGCTAAAATAAGAAAAAACTAATATCATTCTTACTGTTACTCTACTATTGTTTTAACACGAGTGATGAGGAAGTCGAAGTACTATTGCTGTATGTCAGTTTTTGCAAAATGCTGGACTAAATAGAAAGAAAATATGTTAGACAGTAAGGCTTTCCTCTCAGAAATTAAATCTGATTGTAGGTATAAATTTTACAATTGTTGTGGGATAATTGCTATAGTATTTTATTGGAAGAGTTTTAAACACCGTAAGTGCATACGTGATATCTAATGAAATTATTGTTAGATAATCTCGTGATGGTTATAAATAACGAACTTAGTAACCTTGGTAATTTCTTAATTATTTTACTACTTCGCATAGGCTGTATCAAAGTGATAGCAAGAAAAATTTAACAGCAATATTGTTCAATGGAAATTGAAAATATAATTGTTAGGCCTTAACTCTTAATGAAACTTAAAAATTCATTTTTCAGAGTTTTTTTTAAGAAGAGGTCAATTTAATTTTGAGAGCCACTAAGCTTTACTAGTTAGAAGGGATTTGGTGCATGCGCAGAACGTTTTGCTCCTTGAAACATCAAACATCGAATCTGTATCGAATCCATTTGTCGAGCAACTGCTTAAATGTTTCAAGGCGTTGCGAGCCGCCTTACAACGTTTGCTTGATCAGTGTGCGGCATGCCATTGAAATACATGGGGCGCTCGTACCCAGCGAGACATTTTGCCTCGCAACACTTGCTTCAGGTGAAATGTTGCATCAGTGTACAGCCGGCCTTTTTTAAGAGGATTTTTATGCACTGGGGGGCGGGCTACTCCCTCTGTAAGTGCTGCCAACTTTCCTAGATAAGTAAATACAGAAATTGATCATTGCATTGCACTTCAGTTAACATCCTTTATTGTTTGTACTAATTCTAACTGACTATTGGATACTGAAGTAGACATCCCATCTTTGTTAACAAAGAACGTAGTTGTGTGAGTCAGTCACAGAATGCGCTCGTGACTTAAACTCTATTTTCTACAGTAGACCCCCTCTTATCCGACCTCGTATTAACCGATAATCGGATTATCCGCCTTCGATCGTAAAATAATAAATAATACAGTTTGTTTTAACCGACCTTGATTTGAGGGCAGTTCGGTTTAACCGCCGCTTTCTAGGAATCTTGGCATTTCCGCTCTCACGCTGGGCGATGAGAACTGAACCATACGCTTATCTCCACAGGATATGACTAAGAATAAGTTATTTTGTATTGATCACAAAAAATATAGCATATTGTCAGTTTGTTATCTTTGCGGAAAATTTATAACATCGTAAAGTGCGTTACGATTTTGAGAACTGATTATATAATCGCTGGAGTAAACAAACAATGCAACTTGTAGGGAGGGCAGGGAAAGGGGGTTAACAACTCCAAGGTCAAGATAGTTTTTGTGCCTCTAGCTTTCAGTGAGAGGCTATAAATAAACATCCTGTCTTGTAACAAAGTGGTTGCTTGTATCTTTAATTTCGACAAAAGGTTCTGTACTGTAATACGATGGATTTGGAAAGCATCAATTAATACATTACAGTTCTAATGTTATTAAAATTGACTCTTGCCTTGTACTATAATATATTCCACTGAAAGTTGGCCTATTTGACTTAACCGTGTTTTGTGTTTATTTGTGACTTTTCTATCAATACGGAAAAGGAGATAAGAGTGGTTTATTTTATAAATAATGCAAGTATGACTTCAAAATAATGATTATATAATTCCAAATGAATAGAACTTCATTATGTTATGATTTTAGGGATTGCCCGTTTTAACCGACCTTTTGAGTCATCCGACCTAGGTCCGGTCCCATTAGGGTCGGTGAGGGGGTCTACTGTACCTTATTTTTTGTTGCTGGCCAAGTTGATGGGTCATAACAGTTGCTATAACTTACAATAAGTCGTTCCTTTAGTTTGAATTGGTAAAAAAGATAGGGTATTCAACAGAAATCAGTAATTTAGATCAACACAATCTGTCGGTAGCTCACATCAACTACGACGATTTTAGTAAAAAAAACTGGCTACAAATTTAACATGGGGATGAAATGTTAGTTTTATTAATTAGTCAAAGATACTGTCCTAACTTGTTGGGTTAAGAATCTAAAGGTAAAACATTCGTTAATTCAGTATAGGTTCCAAACTTTAGGTAGGGATTTATTCCCAAATATTATACCTTAATACAGTTCCTCAATAATAAAATAATACTTCAATAAAATTTAGTTTGCAAAACAAACATGGGTAAAGAAAAGAAAAAAATAAATGTTTTATTTCTATAGCCTAAATGTGTCAAATATTTGTAACAAACAATATTTTTTCCTATTTTCTCCAAGAAGTATAGCCACCAAGAGCCTTCCATCCTGGACTGACTGCTCCACTCGCTTTTCCGTCACTTCAATACTGATTTATCGTCATTCACACAAATTGAAAAGATTTTCAAGCAGTGATAAGATATGTGATGACAGTTGTTGTTTGTATGTAATAATAAAACAAACAGGAAACCATTATTTAGAGTGCTAATTTATAAAGGTAAACAATGTTTGAAGGCTACTTTATTTACCTCAGATTGGTACTGTAAGGCGAAATAAAGTAGTTAATCACTTGTCCCTGATTTACCTAATTCTGAGCACAGTCCCTTTAGGCCCCTGTGTCAAAGTATACTAGGCCTATTATAGATACAACATCTCCTGTCGCCAAATTGAATCCTTTACAATTATCTGAAAACATACTACGAGAGCCCAATTTTTAATTGCACATTTGTAAATTTTAACAGACAGGAGAGGGAAACAATTTGCACATTATCAACAGTTTAGAGAGTTTTATTTGTCACACAATTTTCAGCCAATAGTCATGTAACCATAAAATGACATTTTGTACAACTTCTAAAAATATGGATACTATTCTAAAACACTACAATCTTACAAGAATACTTCAGCTATTATAGATGCATAGTTCTATTTTATACTATAGATCTTTTTAGCTAGTAGTAAAAAAATAAATATTCAAATCACAAAAACTAAGCATTATCGACAGAGATGTTGTATAATTGCGTCATTAAAGAAAACAACAGAGAGACTAGAAAATAAATCATTTAATCATATAGGTTTTAAAGCTCAAAAGCCTGCAATCATTGGTGTTAGGTCAATATTAATAAATTTTCCGCATGCATTAATGACGTTCATACACTCTGTTATTCTACTCCTACTGATAAAATAGCAACATTTTGTTGTACATATCACAAATATCAGATACCAAGAGATTATTGCTCTACTACTCTACTCTGTTTTACATATAGAGAAAAGTAGAGGTGGATGGAAACTATTTTAAAGCTTCACATAATTGGTTCTTTAAAACAATCTTTTACTCCTAATCTCCACGAAACCTTATTACCTTATTGCTTACCATTTTCTCATTCACATTTACAACCCATTCTTAGTTCCAATGGTGTATTTACAAAAAATAAATACTCTAAGAAATCTGAAGCAGTAAAAAAGCAAACATAGGCTATCACATTTCAACATGGATTCCATCTAGTCCACAAAGTGTATTTTGAGATTTGGAGTACAAAAATACTTTAATGAGCTTAAGGTGGATCTAAGGGCGGGCGTGTACAGGGGTAGTTTCCTCTGGGCTAGGGGTGTCCATTTTGACTGGTATGTGTTGGTCATGCTGTTGAGTGTACTTAGGTCCCAGATTTCCGGGAGCTTGAAGCCGAACCTTCTCAGGATCCGTTGTAGCCTCGTCCGAACGTCGCAGAAAGAGAACTCCGAAGTTGAGCTGCGGAATGTCGTAGAAAATAGTGAGGGTGAGCATCGTAAACGTCAGACCAATCAGCAAGTAACCTGTAAAGAAAAATTAGTTGTAATTACATTTTCGGTTTAATCACTTTTAAATGGTATAACACAATTCCCACAGAGAAATAATTTACTGGAAATCAATGAAGCATTCTAAAATTTAGGGTTCTATCAGAGCTTCTTGTTGTTAGGGCTGATTAAGGACAAACAGTCTAAAGATACAGCATCCAGTCATTTTTTCACTTCTTAACATAAACAGTTAATATACAGTAGTGGACCAGTGCTTGGGTATAGCTTGGGTGGAAGTAGACGTATGGATGGATTTGTTCTTTGTAACTTGTTTAGTCTAGCATATTTATTATCAACTGTGTGTGTCCACTGAAAACCTGTGGCAAAATTTTATGTAACTTTTCTGTTTATAATGAGGGATAAAAATTCATCTATCCATTGTTAGATTACCACTACTTAATCAGTACATCATAGGGTTAAAATGATTTCTACTTGTGCATTTAAAGATCTAATACAACAATCAAATTCTGAGTGTATTTGATTCGTACATCACATAATTATTTTGCTTTGTTCTTTAAAATGTAAAATGTTTACTAAATGGTCCCTGTAATATTCACACAGACCTATAGTGCTCAATTTGAAGGCGGAACGGCGTTCCCATACCTCTCTTTTGGAAAGATAAAAGTATTTGCATGATAGGTACAAATTATATTTAATAGGTTACAATTTGTGCACCTCAATTATTACAAATCGAGCACTGCACAGACCTATATAAAGTAAAAGGCAGTTTTTTATTTATTTGATCGAGTTCAACTTCAAATAAGGTTAAACATAAACTGTTAAGTCAATAAGATATATTAGTTAGTAATAGTTTAATTATAATAATTTCTTGCCAACAGACAGGTTAATAATTTTTTTAATATAATTTTGTAATTTAGTTTTATCTGAGTGAGGCAGACAGAGATAGACATAGCTCATTCCGGTGAGTCACTTCTGGTTAGGTATCATATGATGTCCCACTCCTTGCCCTACATCTAGTGAACTCGTATACACATGAAAATTTAGTTCGTCAGTTGCCGGTAAAGCTATAACAGCGTACTCTTTTCTCTCTCTCGTTTATCCACGCTTTTCCATGGGCATTTTGGATTAATTGCCTCTTTGTAAATCTTTCTCCTGTGTTTTTTAATTCAGTATAAGATTAAAGCTGGTTCTCACTTCTCAGGAAATTCTTCGTGGACGTAGCGTTTTTGGTCTACCACGATAGAAGAGATTTTTTGTGAAAGACATTTGTTTCCCATGAACTCTTACTTCAAGATCACGAGCCACCTTTCCCTAGTGACATTTTCCCCTCTGTGCAACACCATATCTTGGACATGACGCCTTACCCCATCTCCTTAAGGATCAATGGAAAGCTCTTTTGGTTCCCACCCTAATCAGGTGTCCTTCGAATGATTCTCATATTTTAACTCTTATTTCATGTTATTACCATATTTTATCCCAACATCAAACATAAACTTTGCCAAGTCATTTCCAATGAAACTAGTTGAATGAAATACGGTAGTAAAACTCTCAACAGACTGAATACTTATGAGACAGCTAATTCTAGAACTTTTGGAACAACTTGAAATTAAGCCCTATTAAAAACACCAATGTTTTTTAAATGTGTGTCAAATCTGTGTAGGTCTTTTGGAAGAATTCCAGTCAAAGAAACCCCTCAATATACTTATTACTTACCGGTGGTGGCAACTTTGTAGAGCGGGCGGTAAGGTTGGTTTGGAGAGTCGCCTGGAATATAATCTCCAAGACCCACAGTCGTGAGAGAGATGAAGCAGTAGTAGAGAGAGTCCAGATAGTCCCAGCCTGGCTCCAGACTGGCAAACACAGCTGCAGGGATGAGCACCATCAGGCCGATGTGACAAGTGGCGATGATGAAGAGGTGTAGTACACGGATGTTGAATGGCTGCAGACATAGAGTGTTAGCATCAGTAGAATAGGTAGCAGACGCTAAAAACTATATGATGACGAAAAGGAAAAAATCATCTGTATTAATTAAATTTTTTAGAATACAAATTTAAGTTTCCTCATCTTTTCATCACGATCAAAACCTACGTTTAGTTCCACAAAGTCTATTTTGTGTGGATAGAATTTATGAGTTTTTTTACTTTGGTTCAATACAAGTGGCATATTTTCAGAGCCACTGATCTTAAAGGCATTTTAAAACCTTCAAATTTTTGTGAGTTTTACCTTAGGCTACAACTACAAAGGAAAGTACACTGAATGGAAATGTACAGGAAAGATTCTGGTGAATACATGGAACACGGAAGTGGCAAAAACTCACCATGTTATGAGTCACGACACCCTCAGAAACTGGAAAATCCAATTGACATTTTCTTGTCGTGGGGTTGCGATTCACCACATGTTGAGCCCTTACCACCAGTGGCGTTGCTTGGTTAAATTCCAGGGGGGGGAGAAGCCTCAAATTTCCCAACTGCCTAACATAGATTTCCCAACTATTTTTTTTTAGAAATCAATTTCTGTACCGGTACTATTTTTAAAAATCTACAAATTATTATACTACACTGCAGTAACATTCAATTCAGTATTTATAAACTCGCATTAACAAAACATAGCTAGTTTTACATCCTATACAAAATTACTCAATTTCTAAAACTTCTACCAATTCATAATGAAATTTTATGACTTCAAAAAGCTTGAACAAGTAATGTTTCGAATCCATAAAACTTTAAAAACCATTGTGGTAGCAGACGTAGCAGTGTAAAATTTTAGTGATATAAAATAAGCCTCAGAGTACAAATTAGTGGGTATAGAAAATATATTTTATTACAAAATAATGAAGTTAAAATACTTTTAGAAGTTAAGATCAACATTTTAACTTTCATAAAACTTACAGCTAGGGTAGGCCTAAACAAGTTTGTAATGATGAAATATTAATATCAGTGTTGTGAATAATATTACTCTAGCCTAGAAAGGAATAAACCTAAAGTAAGACTTGTATAAAATAAAAACGTTCAACTTGGTTGATAATAAACTTATACATACAATAAAAATGTTAACCTTCATCTTCATCAAACTAGAACTTAGACAAAAATCAAACTTAGAGTGAAAGTCAAACATCAAATTTTAGGTTATGTTTTGTCCACGTAGATCTGTTTCAGAGTGATTAGTTGATTCATTTTTGTAAATCCTTAATTAGGAGTGATAAATAACTTTTGTAGATTTTTAAAATATATTCAGAGAATAAATATTCCATTTAGTTTATTAAAAAATAAGAGTTTTAAAGGTAATACCGATACACAAAACCTATGTTTAATGTTATTTTAATCTGCTTATTAGCAAGTACTCCGGTCAGTTAGCCTGCTCCAAATACCACAAAAAAGGTATAAAATATATTTCATGTGACTGACGTGAAAAATATTTTTGAATTTCTTGTAAACACTAACAAACAACATAATTGAACAGAAGAGCTACATTGCTTGCACTTTCAAAATTCAAACTTGCAGACGAATCATTCAGAATAATCAACACAGGACAGGATCAAGGTACCCAACATGCGTCCAATAAGGAACAAAATTTCTCGTAAACGAAATTCCAACAAGCTTTACCGCTAATTGATTATTGATTTCTTAAAATAAGGCGTGTTTAGCCATGGTTTAGCCTTGTTTAATCAAAGTTAAATTAAATCAAAGAAGCGTCAAGTTTATTTGTCCAAGTCAAAGAAATTTTTCCCTTTGATGGATTTTTGCAAATATTTAAATTTTGTTTAGTTTAAAAATATATTTTTCTTGTATCCGACTTCCCAACTGTCCCAACTCATGGCAAGGAAATTCCCAACTTTTCTCTTTCCCAGATTCTAGGGGGGGGGAGGCTCCCCCCCCTACCCCCCCCAAGGCGACGCCCCTGCTTACCACACCAATTAACTGAAGCTTTTACCTTTAGTTGTTTGGGTTACACTGGGCAGGAAACGAAACTAAAAGGAAATTGACAGGAACATTCTGGTTAGATGCAATGCTTGCTCAGTCGTAAATTGTTTACCAGCCTACATACACGCATACTCCCAAAAATATTGTTTCTGTCAGTTTCCTTTCTATTTCCTGTCTCTTCTGGTGAATCCCTAGCACCATCTGTATTGGTTCCTTTCTTTCCCTTCCAGTCTATAGTTCCTTTCCAGTCTATGTTAGCCAAACCTTTACCGAAAGTTCAAGAGGCTAACCTCAATGCTATAGGAAAAAGTTAAAGAAAATTGGTTGAATTTATTGCATTATTAGTTTAACAGTAGGCACCTATCATAACTACGGTACTTACTTAACGTTCATGCAGCATAACAAGTTGCATATCTGAAACATTCATAAGCTTACCTGATAGAGATGTCCCAGCCTGCTATTGAGAAATTGAAGGAATAGTGTAGTTGGGATCATAAGTCTCTCTACTAGAGCTGTCAGCAACACTAGAGTCAGAGGTATTCCCAGCATTGCATACAACATACAGAACATCTTGCCTGCCTTGGACAATGGTGTCACGTGACCATACCCTGCAACACATAGTATACATCATAGTATTATAAACTACAAGGTTTTCTTCCAGGTATATAGTTAAAGCTAGTTTAAATCTAATCTGACACACAAGCACGGTGCTCTGTACTCTCCTCACCACAATGATTCCCACCTCTAAGCGAAAATAATTAGTCTCTTTTGTTTCATCGAGGTAGTTTATAAAAAAAGAAGGGAACGTCGACACTTCTGGCAATTATGAATCATGTTTTATTAATTTAAGTTGAAAAGTCTACCAAGGGTAAATCCATTGTCTTTGGTAGGTAGTATTAGAGACATTCTCTGTTATTGCTAAATCTCTTGTGAGTGTAGGAGTTTTGCTAACGAGTATCAGGTAGAAAGGGTCCCCATCCATGAATTCCACATACTGCGGAGTTTTGCCAACGGTTGTGGGTTGCGCGAGAGGGGGAGGGGGAGAGAGAGAGATTACACGTGACCGTGAGGGTGGCTTCCGCTAGGGGTGGACAAACCAGGCAGGATGCTGACTGTGTTCAAAGTAATGGAGTTATGCACCTCTGACTGTGAAAAGAAATGTATTGAATTTTTAACCTAACCTAACCTAACCTAACCTAACCCACTGCGACAAGCGCATAACTGCCAAGCGTAGACAACCCTGACAATCGCTCTCCCTCCCTCCCTCACAATCTTTCTCCCACCACCACCGTTGACAAATCTCCGCACCAAGAGGTGGCCGAAGGCATCCCCCCATCTACCTGACACCCGTTGGCAAAACTCCGGTTCCCATCTCTTGTTCAGTCACATCACATCAGCATGCAAAATTTCCGTAGTTTAGTTACTGCTGCCTCGCCTCAATCAAAACTGAGGAACGAATGCAGTCAGCCTAAACTGTGCAAAATTTGTAATTATCTTGCAAATGTATACAATCACCTCTCCTCAGCACTCCCTTTATGCATGCTCATTTCTTACATCTAAACTAACACTTTTCTCCGTGTGTGTCCATTATTTGATGAGGTACTTAGAAGGTGATGAGCCTATGGACCACAGAAATCTTATCACACAACATTATTCATACTTGGTAGAACCATTTTGTAGAAAATCACCCTCACAGGAGTGGAGACACGCTAGAGTCTGTAAGAAAATAACACAGCACTGAATTTGAAATAGCTTGCTGTGTGGCGACTTGAGATTGTTGGAAACTTTAATATAGGATAAAAACCTTGCATTTCATCTTGGCTCAGCACAAGCTGTAGGCAATCAATTAAAAAAAATGTTTATATCTTGTGTTTTCAATCTGTCCTATTTCCCAAGGTTTCCAAAATTGAGAAAAGGTGATTTTGACTGGACTTTTATTAAAATAAAATTTTCGATACATTACTAGTTGGTAGTTAACTAAAGCATATTTTTTGCATTTTTCAGGAAACCATGGCTGACGGAAAAAAGCAACATGGCACAAGCACAGCACACAGCAGTAAAGCCAAAAAGAAGAAAAAGTTAATATCACCTGGGACCAGCCACTCCTTTTACTATATTTTCAAGCACAGTTTGTTTGTGTGCAGCTAAGTCTTTAGCAAAGGTGTAAATATGTAAAGAGACTGACAATTCATTATATTTTCAGAAACCAATGGATCCACGCTTTGGTAAAAAGTTGTTAATGTTGGTGACAAACTGGAGAAGGTACTGTAAATTTAACAGCCATATGAAGTTAAGAGAGAAAATGTACACAAATTAGTACTTATACAAAAAATCTCCTTGCATGCCTTATAGATAGGTAAATGGTAAATATACTCAAGTCAAGATATACCCAAAAACACCTTATGAGCCAGTTAAATCTCTTTGACATTATATCGATTGCATAGAACAAAGGAAAAAGTTTACAGTAAATAAAAATGAAATTGATTAAACTAAAAAAAAGGTTAGTTTAATTTATTAAAAATTAAGAATAAAGTAAAATGTATTTTAGTTTGAGGTTTAGCAAAGGTATCTGGACATTCATTTGGAAAGTTTTATGATTGTTCATAATTTCAAAGTATGATTTGTTTTATCTTAAATGACAACTCATACAATAAGAGAGCGAGTGAGATGGAAAACTAGAGAATGTCATTAATTATAACAGATGAATGACTAATTAAACATTGGAAAAAATGAGTTTGCATTGGATGCTTAATTTAGACAATTATTCAGACTGACAGAGATGAATTGTTTGGATTTCTATGTGAAATGCCGATTGTGCCATAGCTTCATTATTTTTTGGAGATCCCCAAGGAGAAATCATTATTTTGTCAGAATTACGTTATAATTATGTTGGTCGTTTTGTTAAATAGTTATCTTTCTATCATATAGATCACTGTAAAACAATTATTTATCCGTTGACAACTTGCTTTTTATCTGAGAATATGTTAAACATTATTGACGTTAAAAATAGAGCAAGTAGGTTCTACTCTTTATTTAATTCTATTGTAAAATACCAAGCCTTTTTTACGTGTATAGTTGTTGACATTGATTGCGCTGATGTCGAATGAATGTTTTAGTTTTGCTTCTATTTTACAGTTGCTGACTTACACATTATTTTAAATACTGGAGACGAGCAAAAGTTTATGAACTGATTTTGTTATTGTATCTTTACGCCAGTGACATTATTGAAGTTTTTTGTAAGGGAATAGTCTAAAACCTGGTCTTGTTAATATCTAACAACCTGTTCTTAGGAAGCACCTTTAATTAATTAATAGCCCAACGACAATACCATTTGGGTCTGGTAACAGTCTTGCATGAAATTGAACCAGGGACCTTTGAAGGCAGGCAGTATAAGAACTCTCAGACTATTTATATTTAGGTAAATTAGTTTTTAAGTTTGTTGATTACTTGATAAGAAATAAATAGTAAACAGCATTTCCTCTTTTAGGACTAGTCAGCCTGTTTATTCTATGATAGTATTTTCATTAAACTTTGTTTTACTTTAAGTTTTTCGATTAATGGAATTTAATGTCCTTCAATTGCACTAAATCAAATCCATCTTTTAAATTTTACTTATAAAATACCCAGACATCTAAAAATTCTTATAATTTTATTTAGTGTTGCTATTAACAAACCATACGATGGTAAAAATAATAAAACTTCCGGTCTCAAATATTTATGCGATATGATATAAAGCACAGGATGATTGAAGCTAGCAAATCAATTTCTGAACACACACTGAATCCGCTTTTAAATCCACTGTCCATTACCATCAATAAATTGAAACGTAATCTAATGCAATCTAACCCTTCAATGACCGAAGGTAATCTATACTTGGGGACATCATCATCACGTTATTGCCTTCAATCTGCAGTCAGCCACATGTTATCAACATTAACACAGGCACAATTACCGGCGTAATTAACTTCAGTCAATTCCCTATTTGATTTATTGATTAGGGTACAAAAAGCTCATCGTAATATGATTGAAAATTAATTGTTAAATGGACATGGATTTAATAAAAAGCTAAAAAATTAATCGCCTGTTAATTGAAAGTGAAAAACTTAAATTCAGCCAAACAGTTTCAAAATATAGTTTAACTGGAAGAGATATTTAGAATTTCAACTAAGGTGAGAGAATTACCAAGTTTGTTTAAGTGGGTTGTTCATCAAAGTCTCTATCAGTTTGTGATAAAGAAGGGCAAAGTTCTTGAGCTCTCTCTGTTCTCATAATGCAGTTTAAATTCAACTTTTATCACAAAAAATTCTATACTAAAATATCTTACATGTTAACATAATGGTTGTTGCAATAATGAAACAAATTGAAATATTCACTGACAAACTTATAAGTTCCTTCACAGTTGTTTTGGTAAGAAGAAAATACTAACCAAACCTTTTAGAACCTTCCAATATATCAGAATATTTCTCATTTCATTGCCTAATACAAATAAATATATGTCAGATACCATTTGCCATTAAGCTTGCCAATGATGCTACAATTGCTGACTGTTGACTGTATAGACTTATTTTACTTGTTCACAGTTCCAATGGTAACAATGAGAATGAGCCTTGTTTCAACAGAGTGTAAACCTCATACTAGGGCTGAGTCTTGCTTTAAGAATGTTTTCCTGTAATGGGCCTGTCATATCAAGTTACACTTTTTGTCCCACGTATGTTAAATGTTTGTGTCATATTAATTCAGTTAATTTGTGTTTTTACCAGGAAAGTTTTGGGGTAGTTTTGATTTTTTCCATTTCTTATGTATTTTGGGGTGCTGAATCCGAATCTGAGGTTTGCCAACAAAAATTCTTGACGCAACATTGACAAAAATGAGAAAAATATGGAAAAAGTTATATTTTTTGTAATATTTAGCTTATAACTCAAAAACTATCAACTTTTTGTTGTTAGTCTATATTATAAAAATTAAAGTACACAAAATTTGCTACAAAATGCACCCCTAATGTGGTAATCTCCGATGAACCGTTTAGGCTCCAGAGCTATTTGAAAATTGGAACATTTTGTGTTAGTTTTTAAATTTCTCCAATTATTCTGTCAATGACATATATTCATTGTATATGCCCAGGCAAAGGTCTTATATAAATCCAAAGTGTTAAAATTGATTAATTTTGTGTTACTGAACCGTTGACTTTTTATTTAGTGTACAGAAAAGTTACACAAACTGTTGCCGTTTAAATTATCCTCGCTCAGAGGGTTGTAATGAGGCAGGTTCTGGCAAACGTTTCGATGCACTATTTGTGAGCATTCTAGCTTGTTCATCTGGACAATTAAAAAAAGGTTAAAAGTAAAAAAAAAATTACATATAATAATAAGTGATACCAAAATCAAAACTATCAAAATTAAATAACACCAATATATTAATCATGTAATATCTTATGCACCTGATGACGTGATATTAAGATATACGTAAATAATAAAATGTTATGTAGGCATATACTGTTGCTAAGCATTTACATTGTGTGTAGATTTGATATATTGTAGGTCCTAGGGCGTAGAGCATAGGCCTACATGAGAGTGGTAAGGGTTAATTGACTTAAGATAGTCAATACAAATTTTGGCTAGAAAACTAAATCCAACGTTGCCTCACTGCCCCCAACTCAAGCAGCTTTGTGGACATAACTCGCTTAGAGTTTACATTTACATTCGGGTGAATGAATGGGGGTGAAAAAATTAGTATTGGCCTATGGTAACAGTGCCAATCACTCTAAGCCTTGCATCGGTCTTGAAATTTTACACAGACAATTTTATAATGGGTGGGTGCCAATACGATTGAGGATGTACAATGGGCTGTGATGCTAGAGTCACAGTGTATGCCTACATAACATTTTATTATTTACGTATATCTAAATATCACGTCATCAGGTGCATACGATATTACATATTGATTAATAGATTGGTGTTATTTAATTTTGATAGTTTTGATTTTGGTATCACTTATTATTATGTGTAATTTTTTTTTACTTTTATCCTTTTTTTAATTGTCCAGATGAACAAGCTAGAATGCTCACAAATAATGCATCGAAACGTTTGCCAGAACCTGCCTCATTACAACCCTCTGAGCGAGGATTATTTAAACGGCAACAGTGCGTGTAACTTTTCTGTACACTAAATAAAAAGTCAACGGTTCAGTTACACAAAATTAATCAATTTTAACACTTTGTATTTATATAAGACCTTTGCCTGGGCATATACAATGAATATATGTCATTGACAGAATAATTGGAGAAATTTAAAAACTAACACAAAATGTTCCAATTTTCAAATACGGTAGCTCTGGAGCCTAAACGGTTCATCGGAGATTACCACATTAGGGGTGCATTTTGTAGCAAATTTTGTGTACTTTAATTTTTATAATATAGACTAACAACAAAAAGTTGATAGTTTTTGAGTTATAAGCTAAATATTACAAAAGATATAATTTTTTCCATATTTTTCTCATTTTTGTCAATGTTGCGTCAAGAATTTTTGTTGGCAAACCTCAGATTCGGATTCAGCACCCCAAAATACATAAGAAATGGAAAAAATCAAAACTACCCCAAAACTTCCTCGCTATGAGTAAATTTAAATACAAATTTACTGGATTATATAACTTATGTAGACCATCAACAAAGTTAGTCAATCGGATCTACCATTATTTCTAAACTCAGGTGATTAGAAATTGCATTCTGCCAACATATGTCACCTGATTGGAAATGCAGACAGGTACAGAAAACTCATATAAGGCAACGGTGCAATTTCAGGGGGTTTACAGTGGAAACAAATACTGTATTAAACTGAGAAAGATGAATAAATATGAGAAGATACTGAAAAACTGAAAAGTGGTCCATTGAAGGCTATACAACAATGTTTTAAAATATAAAGTTACAACTCCCTACTTCTCTCGAATATAACTCACCGATGGTTGTAACCACTGTACTGGAGAAGAAGAGGGACTGGCCGAAGCTCCAGTTAGGCTCACTGGAGACATTTCTTGCTGCAGACACACCTCTGTTGCTGGCTCGCACAACTTCCTCAATCAGCGACTCCAAATCGTCATCTGGAACAAAATATTGAAACTATAAACAGCTGGTCTTTATAAAGCTACACAAGGCATTTCACTGCATTCTTCACACTCCTCTTTCACGCTGCATTATGTGTCTCCGTTTCAATCTTTCACTTTGTGTTTCAAATTTATACTTAGACAAGCTGGGATTGAGATACCTTGTTAAAATATAAATGAAATAGTGGTGTTGCAATCTTGAAAAGTGGTTATGGTTTTGAACAACAGTTATTCTCACTAACACTAAGAATACAACTTTGTCACCAGTACAGTATCTCCCTATTGGTTCCCCCCACTATTAATTAATTGGACCTGTTTTTATACTTCATATATTTATGTTCTATTAAATGTTTTCAAAATGAGTTTTTTTTTCATTAAAAAGGTTTACATTTACATATATTTTTATATCGAACTTATGTATACCACACATCTTCTGAAGCGTCTTGACTCTTGATAATCTTGATTGGTTGATTCAATACAAAATTTCAAAATGGCGGCCATTTTGAAATTTTGAGTTGGGTCAAGATAATTTTTCTTCTTTGATTCTACCTTAACCTACATACAAAGTATCATAAAGATCAGTTGAAACAATTGTTAGATAAAAATTTCAAAATTTGTATGTGCAAAATACAAAAGGTGGATATCTGGTTAACAAAGCGATTTCGGGGAAAATGTTATTCTTGATTTTAATCTTATTTTTGTATGTAGAATCTCGTTATGCATATAGCCCGCTACAGATTTTTGTGACACCCTGTATATTCGATTATATGGTTGTATATTCACACCAAAAAATATCTGCTTCCAAACATTACATAAATAATAAAAACTTAAATTTTAAAACAAAGAAGTTTTAAAATTTATTCTCGGCTAAATATCAACACACAAGAGCAAGGCCTTGGCCGTCCATAGTACGATAGATACAAGCTGAGAGATAACCATGGATCTATCACTCCAATGTGACTAATCTCATCTAGAGTAGGCCTACTCGGTAGTGTTTGATCAACATTATCGGGCAAGTTTAATGTCACTCGTGAACTTAGTTGTTAACTATGAGAAACAACATAACAAACTAATAACTATACATCGATGTGGTACACATCGATATTTATTAGAGTACACAATTTAATCTACTCATCTAAAACAAAAATATTACAAAATTTTGATTTTTTTAGAAAATAAAATTCGAGATGTATGAAAGGGACAGAACGAAAGGTGCAACGTAGTATAAGTATGTAAATTAAAAAGTTTAAAAAATTTCATTTTCCTACAGTCACCTGTCAAATTGGGCTTACTTGCACTGATTAAGTACCTACAGAAAGTTGCTAATTGCTGCACTAACCCTGGTATTCTTACTACTCTATTGTTAGATAGAATAAATTCACCCTCCTTTGGATCGAACCGACAACCTTCAAATTTTAAAGCGAGCTACCAAGATAGTCAGTTATAGCCAAGTTGAGGAAATACAAAAGAAATACAAAAGAATTAAACCTATGAAAAAAAAATTACTACCACGCTGTTAAATTCTTATTGGAATAAAGCAACAAAAGTCTGTAGTTTATAATAGATGTTTTGAAGATTAATTGTTTTTACATAGTTTTCTTTATCAAGTTCTATGCACCCAATTCACAATTCAATTAAAGAATTTTAACAATACAATACACACAAAGACATTTTTTACAAATTGTACATCATCTGATCAAACATGGCAAGACGTGTGAACATTCTACATGCCATAACATAAGTTCCACCCAAACTACATCTGGTATTTAACCTTAATTCCTACTTTTGAAAAAATTGTCTTTTTTGTAACTGTTCAATGGAACGGAATATTTTACTATCAAAGACTGTCAAGATAAGTGATGTGATTTGTCTTGTCAACAACCCTTATCCCCTAAGACCCTTATATTGACCTAAGAATTTGTAATACCTTAGATATTTTATGTAAAAGCAAAAAACTGTAACAAATTTTAAACCGTAATTTTTACAGCAGTGGGCATTGCACTGTTTTGTTTACAGTCAAAAGGACCTTAACATACTAATACAAAACATTTTAGCCATTTCCATCAAAATCAGGTTTTCTGTTATTTTATAGAAAAATCACCATTAAAAATCAAAAGTTTGAACGTAACATGTAATTTAATGTGCAGGGGGAGAAAGTAAAAGTGACTTTTAAAACATATTTTCGTTTTTCTTGGACGTTCCCACTAACATTTTCAAATCACTTAGGCGCAAAACTGTGTAAGAACACCACTGGCCGCAAAGTCTGACGGCCGACCAATCAATAGAAGCTCCTCTTGATGGATTGCTCTCATCTACAGCCCCAGCACACTTCTGATTGGCTATTATATATATTCGGTCAACAACTTACAACTCTTTCGTAATGTCTTTACAAACTGGTAAAAGTGCCTCCCATAGAAATATGGCCTTGAGGAATTTCCATAATGAGGTTTAAATGACTTATGCGAGACTTTGCAAACACATATATACATATGTTTGTAACCATTTTCTTAACTGTAAATTTCACTGTTTCCTAAAGCTTGGATAACATGTGGAAAAACACACCTTGAAGAATGTTCATGAAATTTCTATTATTATGCTTGACTTTTTCTAATCATGAGAAAAAATATAAATTTATTGAAGTTAAAATGAAATAAGACCACATTATAAAATCTAGATGAGAGAAGAATGATATTACAACTGAACCCTGACGATTCCAATTTCCTGTTGTTAACAACTTTTAACAACCTCGAGAATTGCAACAGTTGATTGTGATCTGCATAGAATTTCTTTCAAAGCAGTCTTAACTTGAAAATAAGTTGGATTTCCAATTTAAGTTTAAACTTTAACGATCATTATATTCCCATTAATTGAAGTCGTTCTAAAACATTGTTTTAGCCAAGGAAATCCAGAAATGATGATTATTAGTTTAGGAGAATATTGCAGAATATCTCATGGCAAAATTTTAAGACTTGTTTTGATAAACTTGCTGAAAAACACTTGATTTGGGTAAAAATCTCTTGAAACATTTTTCGATCAATCCTAGAAAAGTTTGGAAATTTGGTAGGTTATGAGTTTTAGCAGTTCAGTCGTTGGGTCATTGATTGAGTTATAATGTTGACTTCTAAAGACAGAAATCCCAGGTTAGAAATTTTAATCGACCCAAAAATGTTAAAAAAATGTCACCCTTAAAAGGGAAGATAAAAACCTATAGTAACGAACGTTTTAGTAATTATTGTTTAGGTTTCAAAACAACAAGATCTAGCAATAACAGTTTTATCCTTTATCAAATGATCACAAAGTTTTTAAGTTTTTATAAGGAATGCCATTCTCAGCAAATTTCACTTAACTTCCGATGATTTTAGATAAAAAATTTGAATAATAAAACACTATTTATCGATTCTATATAAATCGATCGATCGGAATTCATCAAGGCAAATATGAATAACTTTATTGATGGAACAACCGTGATATATTTAGAAGAAATATCGTAAACAATATTTTTCAAATGATTAAATTCTTTAATTAATTCTGACCTCTGTAAATAACTGGCATGCATCCAACAAATGATATCTAGTTTCAATACAACTAAAATTGAATCAGCTACTGTCTCTAAATAATCCAACGCCCATATTCTGTTTTCATTCACTCAAATAGCTACATCTCTATTTTATGTAACATTCCAAATAATTTAATAACTGCCAGTAGTATCTGTATCGTTAAAATTAAATTCAGTGACTGTTCAGGGTTGCCACCATAGTGAGATGACAAAATTCATGTAGAATTCATGGTTTTCATTGGTAGTTTGAAAAAATTCATAGTCAATACGCTCATACAAGTTGCGGGAAAAAACCGATCTATTTTATGTAAAAGTAATGATTCAGTCATTGCAACTCAGCGACTGTTTGGTGATTTTTTTTTTACTAGGGCGACGTTGATTCCGTCATGTGGCACAATCATGTGGTAGACAATCAACTATAGAACAATGGTTTCTGTGTTCAAAAAGAAGCTGACAAGCCACTCAAAGTCAGATCGGACGTCAGACAACTAACATTCGATAGAGTCCGTGCTGCTGTGGAAAACAGTCCTCGTATGCCCGCTTGAAAACGAACATCATCTTTAAACATGTCTGACTGCTCGGTTACACTAATTTTGAGTTAGACCTGGTTCACCCGGCCAAAAAGTCCTGTTTTACCCCCCCCCCCCCCAATATGAATTTCATGAAATATCCTGTATTCTGGTTTATCTTATTACACACAATGTACTTATTGGTTTTATCACAGACTATAGACAAAATTAATGGTCTATTGTCTGTGGTTTTATCCAGAAAGCTAAAAACATCAGGCGTGAGAGCCAGAAATTCAGTTATATTGTTTTATAATGTGCCCCGTTTCAATTTCGTGCATGGTCTAAAACTTCTGTTTTTGTGATTTAAGTCCCCATACCCCTGTACCCATACGCGGGTTTAGGCCACCTAATGATTTTTCAAACCATATACAGTCCAAGATCTCAATACATCGGAAGACTCAGCTGACATCAGCATCTAAGCTAAAATGAATTGGAATGAACTAAGCAATTGTTTCTGAACGTGGAAAATTTTAAATAATCGTCTCCAAATGGTATTCTCTCTTGGTGTTCGTTTTTCTGAACTGTTTTTAAATATGAAATTTTGGCAAATTTAATGGTACCGGTACTGGTTGAATATTTTTTCCTGATTTTGAAAATTCATGGTCCAATGGAGAAATTCATGCATAATCCATGCCTTTTTTCATGGTCACAAGAATTCATGCATAATTCAAGCTTTTCAAGGTTTTCATGGCTGGTGGCAACCCTGCTGTTTAGACGATTTAGAAAAATTTTTACAATTTCCAATAGTGTTCAATGAGTTGTACAACAGTGAACATAGAATTTTTAACATAAAAAATGTGTATCGAGATTAGCTTAATATGTTCGTAGAGAGCAATAAATAAATTATTTTCATGACTAGCTTAACTTGGCAA